CCTCGCGCAAGGCATCTCAGAGCTCAGAAGTTCGAGGATGTCTCAGGCGAAACGGGCCAGACCACCTCTCGCGCGGCATCTCCGAGGTTAGAGTTTCGAGGATGTCTCAGGCGAAATGGGCCGGACCACCTCGCGCAAGGCATCTCAGAGCTCAGAGTGTCGAGGATGTCTCAGGCGAAACGGCCCGGACCACCTCTTGCACGGCACCTCGGGGCTCAGAGTTTCGAGGATGTCTCAAGCGAAACGGCCCGGACCACCTCTCGCGCGGCGTCCCGGAGCGCAATTTTTCGAGGATGTCTCAGGCGAAACGGCCAATCCCAGCCAACTCAGAAACGAGAGTTGTGAGGATGTCTCAAGCGAAACGGCCCGGGCCATCAAATTTTTGTGAGGATGTCTCTGCTCCGATTTCCCTCGGCCGGAGTTAGCTTCTACCACAACAGCACCCCGTTCAGCAAGCTGTTTGGGGAAAAATCGTGACGTCGGATGTCTGGGGAGGGCGGAAGGCAGTGCGCGCATGACGGATGCTGAGGCGGCAGAAACGACGACGGCGGGGACGGGGAGGCGGAGGCAGAGGCGCAGCAGCGGGAGGCGGGAGGCGGGAGGAGGGAGGAGGGAAGAGGAACCAGGCGGGAAGTGGGAAGAGGGAGGCGGGAGAAGGAATGAGAGAGGTTGTGATTGGAGCTCCTGTGCTACGAAACGTCTCAGGCAGAATGGGCCAGACCATCTCGCGCGCAACATCTTCGAGCCTCGCATTGCGAGGATGGCTCAATCGAAACGGGCCGGACCACCTCGCGAGCGACATCTTGGAGCTCAGTATTGGAAGGATGTCTCAAACGAAACGGGCCGGACAATCTTTCGCACACGTTTTGACAAGTCCACATCGCACTCGCTTCCCGTTAGGTCCTCTCCTGCAACTCCCTTCTCCCCCTCCTCCTCCTCCTCCTCCTCCTCCTCCTCCCCCTCCTCCTCCCCCTCCTCCTGCCTGCTCCCTCATGCACATCATCCGCCTCCTCCTTCTCCCTTCCATCTCCTTCTCCTCCCTCCTCCTCCTCCTCCTCCTCCTCCTCGACCTCCTCTTCATCCCGAACGGCATCTCGGAGCCTAGAGTTGCGAGGATGTCTCCAGCGTAACGGGCTGGACCACCTCGCGCGCGGCATCTCGGACCCCAGAGTTGCGACGATTTCTCGGGCAAACGTGCTGCGAGGAAGTCTCAGGCGAAACGGGCCGGACCACCTCGAGCGCGGCGTCTCAGAGCTCCGAGTTGCGGGAGCCTCCTGGTGCCTCCTGGGGCCTCCTGGGGACCTCGTGGGGTTTCCTCCTGGGCCTCCTGTGGCCTCCTGAACTCCAAAGCCTCTTGGGGCTCCCAGGGGGGATATCTAACCTGTGGCCGTTTGGGCCTCTCCAAATGGAGGGGGGGGCACAAGAGCAGGAAGAATCAACGAATCGGCACCATATGTGTATTAACTTGACACGTTCTGATAGGCGGCCTCCTGGGGCCTCCTGGGAACCTCCTAGGGATCTCCTGGGGACTCCTGGGGACTCCTGGGGCCTGTCCCTCCTCCTGCCTGCTCCCTCATGCACATCATCCGCCTTATCCTTCTCCCTTCCATCTCCTCCTCCTCCTCCTCCTCCTCCTCCTCCACCTCCTCTTCATCCCAAACGGCATCTCGGAGCCCAAAGTTGCGAGGATGTCTCCAGCGTAACGGGCTGGACCACCTCGCGCGCGGCATCTCGGACCCCAGAGTTGCGACGATGTCTCTGGCGAAACGTGGTGCGAGGACGTCTCAGGCGAAACGGGCCGGACCACCTCGAGCGCGGCGTCTCAGAGCTCCGAGTTGCGGGGGCCTCCTGGGGCCTCCTGGGACCTCCTGGTGACCTCCTGGGACTTCCTCCTGGGCCTCCTGTGGCCTCCTGGACCCCACCTGGGGCTTCCTGAAGCTTCTTGGGGCCCCCAGGGGGGATATCAAACCTGTGGCCGTTTGGGCCTCTCCAAATGGAGGGGGGGGGCACAAGAGCATGAAGAATCAACGAATCGACACCGGATGTGTATTAATTTGACACGTTCTGATAGGCGGCCTCCTGGGGCCTCCTGGGAGCCTCCTGGGAATCTCCTGGAGACCCCTGGGGCCTGTCCTGGGCGTCCTGCGGCCTCCTGGTGCCTCCTGGGCCTCCTGGGGACCTCCTGGAGCTTCCTCCTGGGCCTCCTGTGGCCTCCTGAACTCCACCTGAGGTTTCCTGAAGGCTCTTGGGGCTCCCAGGGGGGATATCTAACCTGTGGCCGCTTGGGCCCCTCAAAATGTAGGGGGGGGGGGGGGCACAAGAGCAGGAAAAATCAACGAATCGACACAAGAGCAGGAAAAATCAACGAATCGACACCGGATGTGTATTAACTTGACACGTTCTGATAGAGGGCCTCCTGGGGCATCCTGGGAACCTCCTGGGAATCTCCTGGGGGGCCCTGGGGCCTGTCCTGGGCGTCCTGCGGCCTCCTGGACCTCTCTGGGGCCTCCTGAGGCTCGCAGGGTCCTATGGAGGATATGTCACATGTGGTCTTCTGGGCGCCCAAGCTGGAACACCTCTCGCGCAGCATCTGAGAGCTCAGAGTTGCGAGAATGTCTTGTGCGAAACAGACCGGACCACCTTGCGCACGGCATCTCAGAGCTCAGAGTTGCAAGGATGTCTCAGGCGAGACGGGCCGGACCACCTCGCGCAGGGCATCTCAGAGCTCAGAATTTCGAGGATGTCTCAACGAAACGGGCCAGACCACCTCTCGCGCAGCATCTCCGAAGTCAGAGTTTCGAGGATGTCTCAGGCGAAATGGGCCGGACCACCTCGCGCATGGCATCTCAGAGCTCAGACTTGCGAGGATGTCTCAGGCGAAACGGCCCGGACCACCTCTCGCACGGCACCTCGGCCCGGACCACCTCTCGCGCGGCGTCCCGGAGCGCAACTTTTTGAGGATGTCTCAGGCGAAACGGCCCGGACCACCTCTCGCACGGCATCCCGGAGCGCAACTTTTTGAGGATGTCTCAGGCGAAACGGCCCGGACCACCTCTCGCACGGCACCTCGGGGCTCAGAGTTTCGAGGATGTCTCAAGCGAAACGGCCCTGACCACCTCTCGCGCGGCGTCCCGGAGCGCAACTTTTCGAGGATGTCTCAGGCGAAACGGCCAATCCCGGCCAACTCAGAAACGAGAGTTGTGAGGATGTCTCAAGCGAAACGGCCAAAACCATAAAATTTGTGTGAGGATGTCTCTGCTCCGACTTCCCTCGGCCGGAGTTAGTTTCTACCACAACAGCACCCCGTTCAGCAAGCTGTTTGGGGAACGAAACCCGTCGTAACGCACGGCGGGTGGGGAAAAACAAAAAAAGATCGGCCAACGATGATGTTGCTCCTATTATGGCTACGCCATAGGCTGTGCCATCGGCCGCCGAGGGTATGCATGGCTCAACTGTATTACGCAATTGGTGGCGCCCCGCCCGCCCAATTCAATCACGGGGTTTGGGCTACAGCCGACACCAGCACGAGCATATTAGCCAGACTGCGCGCACCTTTCTGACGGAACGCGGTCACGAGCCTGGGAACTCCACGAGTGCCCGACCGCACGGAAAATTAAAGACTCAGGGTGTCGGCGCACCTTAGTTCTCTGCTGGCTGTCCTGCACCATATGTATGCTGTCTGTTCTGCACCATGTGGTAATAATATGATCCACAAGACAACTAAGATGCGCCTAGCCCTGAATGATGCCGCTGCGCCACGCTCATACCCACACCCCATACCTATCCATCTCACACACACCCGCCGCTGCAGCGGTCTAGGACTATACACAGTCCCCTAATTCAATCGCGAGGCGATCGCGTGCCATCGCGCGGATGGTACCGGGGTCGCGGCGCATCACGATCGCCTCGGCCAGCTGGACCGTGTTGATCATCCAGAACCCTGGCCGAGGCGCCCCGTCGGCGCGCTTCTTCTTCCGCGGCGGCTGCTGCTGCTGCTGCGTGTTGCTGATGTGGACGGCTGCTGCTTCAGCAGCTGCGGCTGCGGCGGCTTCGGCTGAGGCGGCGGCAGCATCTGCGACTTGCTGCTGGCGCTGCTGATGCTGCTGCTGCAGCAGCTGATGCTGCTGCACGGCGGTCGCCAGCTGTGCCTGCCACTGCTGCTGCGTGTACGGCCACTGCTGCTGCTGTTGCTGCTGCAGCAGCTGCTGCTCGTGCCACTGCTGCTGCATCAGCTGCTTACGCATCAGCTGCTCCTGCTGCTGCTGCCCGCGCAACTGCTTGCGCTGCAGCTCGTCTCCCACCGATGATGCTGCTGCAGCAACTGCGACTCGTGCCACTGCCCGCCCTCCTGCGGGTTGACGGCCTCCCGCTGCGGCTCGCGCCACGGCTGTGGCTGCCGCGGCACGTGGTACTGCAGCGCCGCCGTCAGCATGCCCTGCAGCTCCGCAGTGCCGACGGCGCCGTCGCTCATCACGGGCCCATACGACCGCCCGACGCAACGCGGGCCTGCCCTCCGCTGACCTTGACACGACAGCTGCAGCTGACGCCCGCGATGCACGCGACGTCGTCTGCAGCCGACATCCGACGGGCGACGCGCACGACGGCGACGAACCGCGGACGATATGCAATCATCCGAATGGAACGACTGACGACGAACCCACATAGGAGGGATGAGGGGGGAGGGCGATTCACATCGCTGCAAATCCACATCATGTGCCTCGCGCCTCGCCCCATTCACAGTCCTCGGCGCACTGGCATCGCCCTTCACTGGTCCACCGTATGCTGCATCACTGCTGTTGCCCCGCGTCGTCGTCGTCCGCCGCCCTGCGCTGTTTGCCACGCGCGCAGCGCAGCTGCGCCCCCCCCCCCCTGCATGCACATATCCTACGCCTAAGCACCCGCGGCTGCGGCTGCAGCCGCTGCTGCATGGCCACTTGCACCCTCCACCTGCCACGCGCGCGCGGGCGTGCGCGGCGCGGATCGCGGCGCGCCCCGCGGACCCAGGCTTGAACCACTTGTAGGTCCAGCCGCCCTCGCCCGCCCGTCGCCTTGCGACGTGCGCGTTCATCTTGCGGAGCCAGTGGGCGCCGACCGCTCTGGGGGCGCCGCCGCCGCAGATGCACCGCCATCGTCGCCGTCCTGGGCGCCGCCCTCGGCACCGCCCTGGGCGCCGCCCCCGGCGCCCGCGTCGCCGCCCTCGGCGCCGTCATCGGTGACCTCGTCGTCGTCCTGGGCGCCCGGTCCCGCGAGCGATGCGCTGCCATCGGCGCCGTCCTCGGCGCCGTCCTCGGCGCCGCCCTCGGCGCCGTCCTCGGCGTCCGCGAGGTCCTTGGGATGCCCGGCTGCAGCTGGAGAGCATGCACAACCTCACCGCACCAACGCACTAACAACTACACGTGCCCAGCTGCAGCTGGGCACCATCCAACAGCACTATCTGTCCTGCGCGGCCTGGGCGCGGAGGCGGGCGAGGGCGCCGGGCTCCAGCTCGACGAACAGGGGCCGCCGCTCGTCGATGTTCTGCAGCGCCCTGACGACTCCGCCACCGCAGGCGACCTCCACGATGGGGGGGGAAGGTGCCCGCACCCACCATGGCCTTGTAGTCCTTCTGGGGGGGGGGCAGCTGCAGCTGGGTAGCAAGCGCGAACACCGAGCACCCATATCCTTGAGAAGCTTGCGCATCTTGTGGGCGCCGTAGGTGCTGATGTCGGCCCCCCGCGGCGCAGCCGCCTGCAGGCTCGCCTGCTTGCGCTTGCGCTTCAGCGAGTCCACCATCTTCCGCGCCACCGTGCTGCGCTGTTCCAGTAACCTCCAGTGGGGATGTCTTGGTGCCCACGCATCGGACAATGCAAACTTAGTAAAAGCAGCCCTGCCCACCGCGTAGGCCACTGCATGCAATGACACATTAACCCCGCCCAGACCGACCTACCCCGCGCGCGCGCGTCGGCCGTAGCAGACGCGTCGGTCGCGGGATTTATATTTAGACTATGTGACCCCGAACGGGCAGGCGGGCGCACGGCAGCGCGGGCGTCGACTTTTCGATGGACATCCACCTCGCCAAAGGCAGTATCGTCGACGACCACCTCATTCGACACGCGCCATGCGCATCCGTCGTCGATGGTCACAACCGCTGGCCGAACCACTGCAATCGCCATGGGCACACCGCGGTCTTTATAACCCCTGGACCGCCGCCGCACCTGCACCACAAAGGCTAAGCGGCGACGCGGCGGATGCGCACGCGCCAAATCACACGACAGCTCGCCGCGTGGGCTGCAGCCCAAACGACGAGCATAAGTCGGCCGAACCCAGCACGCAATCCGATGCCCAGCCACTCTGTGCCCCGTCTGCGCCGCGCCATACGTTGCACGCTCGGCCGCCGAGGGTATGACTATATAACTCCTGGTTGTGCTATAGGTTGCGCCCTCGGCAACCGATGGCATAGCTGGTTCCCATTGGTTGCGCCATTGCTGCACCCTTGGCCGCCGAATACATATCTGGCACATAGTAGATTGTGCAGTCGGCCGCCGAGGATATAAGTTGCACCCAATGGTTTCGCCACTGGCTGCGCCCTCTGCCGCCGATGATATAGTTGGATCATTATGGCTCTTATTGGTTGTGCCATAGTTTACGCTCCCGCCCGTCAGTCATTTACCTCGCGAGAAGCAAATTCTGGCTAACGCCCGACATGTTATGATATTCCCTGTCCCTCACCACCCCCGTTTCCCCTCCCGACATCCCTCTCGACGTCGTCATCCTCGTCGCATATACTACAGTGTCGCATTCCTCTGCCACCCCCTCCCTCATCCGATCCGCCGCCCTCCCCCGCGCGGGCTGCAGCCCATCGGGCGCCTGCAGCGACCCGGCGCGCGCAACTGATTATCGGCGCGCGCGGCCGACGCGCCGCCGACAGACATCGATGGGTTCATATGTCAGCCGACGCCCAGTCGTCTGAAATGTCTCCCGGCGCGCGGCCGGCAGACTGCACCGCGCAGCTATCACTGCACCTTGCGCTTCTGCCCCCCTCTGCAGCGGCGGCACATGCAGCTTGAGCTGGTCGCTTGTGAGGCTGCGCAAACCGCGCGTCGTCGTCGTCGTCGTCGTCGTCGTCGTCGTCGTCGTCGTCGTCGCGCCTGGCTTCACCTCCTTGGTGTTCACCATGCACGGCACGTTCAGCTTGTGTGTGCCAGTGTTGTCCGTCAAGACCACCTCGACGGCGCTCTGCTTCATGTTGCCGTCGTCGGAGGAACCCAGGACCTGCCAGCACGGCGCCGCCCGCGGAGGCGCGCCTTCTCGCCCGCAGCGAAGTGCGGCAAGATGGCAACGTTGGATGCCGATGGCGGCATGCCATCACGCTGCAGCGCGACGGTTCCCAGGTCGACCGCCGACGTCGGCTTGTCAGCCCAGGTCGCGCCAGCGGCCTTCGTGACGAACCTGGTGCTGGACGCCACCAGCGTGAGCCCGCCTTTTTTTGCACTTGGTGTCGCCTTCGGGGCGCGAGCTGCAGCTCGACGCCCACGGTGAACCGTCAACCTAACACAACTAATCACACATACAACGCTGTTTAGGCACAACGCGCCTGTGAGATGCACCGCGGCCGGGAGCTCCAAGATCACGATGGCCGCGATCACTTCGCAGCGCTTGTCACGCGCGACTCGCGCCGCGCGCACGCATATGCCGATGGCGACGTCGGCGCCCCAGCCACTGAGGTCCACGCCGCGCGGCTGCATGGCGACCTGGCGCTTAAAACCCCTCAGCAACGTCATGGTCTTCTTCTCCAGCTCGGCGTCGACGTCGACAGTCTTTGGCTCCATGACGCGGGCGCCCACGCGCTGCCTAGTAGCAGCGCGCGCGTCGGTAAGGTGCACGGCCGTCTCGGTCACATCCGTGACCCCCCATGCCTCATTTCCGCCGCCCGCTTTTAAACTGACGAACGCCCCTTTCACGACGCCCATCGTTTCTATATTGTACTTGGAGCTCTTCACTTGCTCCACAGTCAGTGGGCCCGCGCCACGGGCTGCCGACGGCGCCGACGACGCAGGCGTCGGCGCGCCTGCCCCCTCCCCACCCCCCAAGCTAACGCCGAGTGCCTCGGCCACCTGGGGCGCCTTCATCTGGAGCCTCCCGCCCAGCGCCAGGACGAACTCCTGCAGCCATGGCTTCAGCCAATGATACCGCGCGTCGTCGGGGAGGGGCGGGGTGGGCTGGGGGAGATAAAGGGGAGCGGCTGCAGCCGACATGCCCGCGTAAAATCCCGGGCGATCTGGTCGAGGCTCGCGTAGCCCTCACCCGTGCACTCGATGTTCCTGCGCTTCGCCAGGAGCTTCGCGACCTTGCAGTCAGGCGACCCGATCGCCATTACCAAGCCCCGATCCTGTGGCGAGCATTACTAACACATGGTTGCATGCGGGGAGGTCGGTTGCAGCCGACCGCCCCTGAGGCATGGCGCGGGCATGCATGTGCCATGCAAGTTTGGCTGAATCCGTCCATCAGGCCGTCGGCAGTGTCGATCAGATCGCGCGCGTGCTCATGAGCTTCTCGCCCGCGAGCAGCTCTGAGCGGGTCTTCTGGTTACCGAGTGAGGTCACATGGGTCTCGAGCAGGAGGCTGCACCTGGAAAGCACGCGCATGAGAGACACCATCATCACACATTGAGGGGTGGGGGTGGAGGGGGCGTGCACCTGCCGTCTTTCGCAACGTGAGACGTCAGGTTCGCCTTGAGCAGCGCGTTGCACACGTACGGGGTGGGATCCCCAGGGAATTTCTTAGCCAACGTGTTGACTGCCGAGATGAAGTCAGACCCCATGGTCTTGACGGTGCCAACAGTCACCTAAATATCGCCGCTGCAGCGGCGAATGGCGAGGGAGCGGGGGAGGGGCGCGCGTCGGAACTGGCTACAGCCAGGTTTGTCAGCGCCGCAGCCTTGGTGTAGGCGCCCAGGTCCTCGAGGAGCTCGCCGTTGCCACCGGTCCCCTGCGCGTGCGCGAGCAGGTGGTGCAGCCACGCAGCGCACTGCGGCTGCTCCGCAGCAGCCGTCGCCATGATCGCCTCCTTGGGCGGCGTCGCGCCCGCGGCGTTGGCGATGTCGAATGCCCTCTGCGTCCACATCATCACCATTACCTCCGTCTTCTCCTCCTTCACGTCCAAGTTCGAGGCTTTCTGAATCCACTGCAGCGCGATGCTGCGATTGTCGACATCGTCGTCGTCGCCGCCGCCGTCGTCGTCGTCGTCGCGCGCGCGCGTTCGACGGGGGGTCGGCGGCGCAGCCGCAGCTGGGCGGGCGAAATCCACGAAGCCTGGCATGTGCACCTCCACTTGGTAGGACACGACGGCCCACGTCAGCCCTTGCTCGATCGCCTCGATGAAGGCGGGCTGCTCGTGGAACAGCTCCTTGCGCAGCCGACTTGACACGTCGGCTAACTCACCCTCCTGCGTCTTGCACCCCGCGCCGGCGGCGCGGAGGAACGCGTTGGCGCGGTCCCCACCAATCGCGAGGTACCTAACCCGATCAGAGGGCAGGCTAGGGATGCGCTGTCCCGACCGCTGCACGAGCTCCTCGTTGAGTGCCAACGCGTGCTTCAGCGAGGCGGAGCCCACTGGCGGCGCCCCTTCTCTCTCTCTCCCTCTCTCTCTCTCTCTCTCTCTCTCTCTATATATATATATATATAATGTATATATATATATATATTATATATATATATATTGTGTCGTGTCGCGCCTCTTTGTTTGTTTTCTCTCTCTCGGTCTTGTCCCGGCTTTTTCTCCTCTCCTCTCTCTCTCTCTTCTCTCTCTCTCTTTTTTTTGCTCTCTCTCTTCTCTTTCTTCCTCTCTCTCTCTCCTCCTCTCTCTCTCTCTCTCTCTCTCTATATAAATATATATATATATTATATATATATATTATATATAATATATATATATATATGTCCAGTTTTGAAACGTGAAGCGGAGCCGGGGGGAGAGAGAGCGCCGCATTCGTCTGTGCCTGCCCCGCTGGCACTGGGCTCAAAGTGCAAGCCGACGGCACTTCGATGGCCTTCGCCGCATGGCTGGCAGGCGAGGCGGTGCACGGCGCAGGGCAAGCCGCGCTGCTGTGGGCAGCCCGCGGTGGCTCGGGGGGGTGGGCCCGGGAGGGTGGCCCGGGAGGGTGGGCCCGGGGGGGTGAGCCCGGGAGGGTGGGCCCGGGAGGGTGGGCCCGGGAGGGTGCCCCGGGAAGGTAGGCCCGGGAGGGTGGCCCGGGACGGTAGCCCGGGAAGGATGGACCGGTAGGGTGGCCCGGGAGGGTAGACCGGGAGGGTGGGCCCGCCTGGGAGGGTGGCCAGGGAGGGTGGCACGGA